GAGCTGGGGGTGGTAACGGCCGACAGGGAGCTCTGGCGTGGGCTGATCCATGAGGTCACGAAGAGTCGGAGATGACTGAACGAGTGAACAACAACAACAACAACCATAATTGTTTATTTAGTCTGTTCCTTTTACTTCCATTACAGTACTTATTAATCATTTGTTGCCATCTAGTTAGTTCTTCTTCTGTAATTTGAAGTGGTAGCATCCTAAATATGAAATTTATTTTTGGAAGTATTTTCATTTTTACTAATGCTATTCTTCCAAACCATGATAAGCGTATTCCTTCGTACTCTATTAACTTTTTCTGGACTTCTTTCCTTAATGTTACTACATTTACTTCCTCTATCTCTTTTAAATCCTTAGTTATTATTACTCCCAAGTATTTTAGTTTGTTCTTGATTCTTATTCCCCCTTTGCTCTGTTCTATAAGAAATCTTTGGTTTCTCCACTGAGAAGAGGCAAAATGTTTGACCATTATTTAAACCAGGGGTCCTCAAACTTTTTGAACAGGGGGCCAGTTCACTGTCCCTCAGACTGTTGGAGGGCTGGACTATAGTTTACATGGGAATATTGTGAAACATTTATTTTATAAATTGTGAAACATTTATTTCTAATTACAAATAAACGAAATTTTGACTGCAAGTATGTCGTAGCATGGGTAACAGGCTAACTATAACAGCAGGGAACCCATGAATATGTTTACTGATCAGCCTATTGGCCGAATTCCCATGACCTCTTGTCATCATAGTTTGTGGCAGCCACACAAAGTTTCTGGAGAACTACTACTTTCAAAGTAAGAGCCGCACAATTAAACAGAAAATAACAATTTCAAACCAGGAACAGATTTCTGTTCTACAATATTATTATTATGCTTATTTATACACCACTTTTTGTCTTCACAAGGAGACTGTGGGCACTTCCAGAAAGGCCCTATATCCCAGGATATGATCCCAGGTTTTCTGCTTTAAACTGGATTATTTGAGTTTGCACTGCCAGATAATCTGGGATAAACAGAAAACCTGGGATCAGATCCTGGGATATGGGGCTCTGAAAGGGCTCTTCCAAACAGCCATATAACCCAGAATATCAAGGCAGATAATCCACAATATCTGCTTTGAACTGCATTAACAGAGTCCACACTGCCATATAAGCCAGTTAAGTGTGGATTTTATACAGCTGTGTGGAAGGGGGCAAAGCAGCTTACATTTCAATACAATTTCAAATCTACAAATATGTGAAATATTACAATAGAATTAAATATAATGGCTATTCTTTAAAGCAGGCATGGGCCAGCTTGGGCCCTCCTTGTGTTTTGGACTTCAACTCCCACAATTCCTAATAGCCAGTAGTGCAGTGTTTCTCAACCTTTCTAATGCCACAATCCCTTAATACAGTTCTTCGTGTTGTGGTGACCCCCAACCATAACATTATTTTTGTGGCTTCTTTATAACTGTAATTTTTCTACTGTTATGAATCGTCATGTAAATCTCTGATATGCAGGATGTTTATCCAACCTCCTGCCATAAGGGAAAAGCACAATCAAGGCACTCCTGTCAGGTGGCCAGTCAGCCTTTGCAGGCTGAACGTCGTGTTGTTCTCGCTGCTGCTGCTTTGGCAGAGGAGGAAGGAGAGGAAGACGACAGTGGCTTCTGGGAAGTGGAGTCCCACATTCAAGGTGGGGGCTCATTACTGAGCATGACTGACAGTATCGGAAAGTGCTCCGCCTCGTTTGGCGTTCCTCCCTGGAAAAGGTTCACTGTTGGTTCGCTATTGGTTCTCCAAAGAGCCAATGCTGGCTCTCCTCAGAGCCACGAGGGAATGGAGAGGTAATGGCCCCACCCACCAGAGCAAGTGGTGATGCCCCTAAAGTTTGTTTTGTTGATTTGCTTCTTCCTCTTCTTCAAAGGCACCTCTGCCTCCTCCTCCAGCCAAAGCAATTGTGGACCTTCGGCGCGTGTCAGTAGAAATGGCTACATGTGTCACTACTGACACGCATGTCATAGGTTCGCCATCACGGGTCTAAACGCACAAATTGAAAACATGCTCAGGACTTTTGGGGGAAAGGAGAAGGATACCGTAGCACCATTGATGCACCCCTTGGATGGAGGCTGCTTGGATGGCTGTGGCTGGAGGGAGGTGGACTGGCTGGTTTATCAGCCTATAACTGCATGACTGCAAAAGTTAGTGACTTCATGAGATAAAGTTCCTGTACTTCTGTTACCAGCAGAATTGATCTCCTCTCATTGCTGTTTTTTGATAAAATAGGTTTGGGCAATAGTGCCATTATTATGACTAGTATGTACAAATAATATGTATCAGTTACTGATTCATAATTCCAGGTTACACATCCATAAGTGTGATACTGAATTCTGGTCATGAACTTATGAAATTAAGAAACCATCATGATATGAGTGAGAGAAAATGAAAGCATCACCAACCAACATTAACACACTTTTGTTATTCAGTGCAATCTGTCATCAGTAAGTATGATTTCCCTCTGCTCTTTTCTTTTTGCAAGTGAGCTTTAATAAATACTGACAAGGATTACATAGAGTTAAGTTTTCCTAGCAGCATGATTCAGTTCATACAATGAATGGATAACAACTTAATAAATATGCTGTAATTATTGCAGAACAGTCTGAATTTGAAATAGAGCCTATCTCCAGTAAAAGCACAAATTAGAACTTCTGATTTGTACTCCAGATGTCTACCTTTTCAGTGTTATTATAAATTCACCACTTATATTACTCACCCATTTCCAACAGAACAGTGTTGTATGCCATTCTACATTAGAAATATGAGACACAGCTGAATGAAAAGCCTGAAGAAGAAGAGGCTCTGACTGAGAACTTGGGGTGCTCCAAACCTAGGGACATTTCATAGAATCATAGAGTTGGAAGAAACCACAAGGGCCATCAAGTCCAATTCTCTACCATGCAGTAACACACAATCAAAGCACTCTTGGCAGATGGTCATCCAGGACCTGCCTCAAAACTTCTAGGGCAGGAGACTCCACAGTGCTCCAAGACAGCATATTCTATGACCAAACTGCTCGAACCATCAGGAAGTTCTTCCTAATGTTTAGGTGTGATCTCTTTACCTGCAAATTTAATCCATTACTTTGTGTCCTAGTTTCTTGTATAGAAAATTCAAGGAGATAGCTTTTGTGGTTTTTGTTAAAAATGTTGTTCATAAAAACTTTTAAGAATTCTTGAAAGTCAGTGGATGAATGAAATGTTGTGAAACTTGGGAGGGGGGGTGTTACAGTGGTGATTGTAGTAAATTTCATGCCAATAGATCTAACAATGAGGGAGAAAGTTTCCCCATTGGTCCATCTGAACATGAGGAAGAACTTCCTGTGAGAGCCATTAAGCAGTGGAACTCTCTGCCCCGGAGTGTGGTGGAGGCTCCTTCTTTGGAAGCTTTTAAGCAGAGGCTGGATGGCCATTTGTCAGGGGTGATTTATTTATTTATTTATTTATTTGCTATACTTGTATACCGCTGTTTCTCAGCCTAGACGGCGACTCAACGCGGTTTACAACAGAATATAACAATCGACAGTATACAATTTAAAAGCATAAAAACTTAATACACAATACATATATCAACAACAAGCCAATTCATCTCCTGACTAAAATCGTGATCCAGTTTCGTCGTCCATATTGCCAGTCCTTTAATCATTACATTTTATTGTCTGAAATTTTTCATCCGAGCTTTTTCGTTCCGCGTCCAACTCTGCTCTCATTTGTTTATTGCTGGTCAGAATTTCTTGCTTCAATGCCTGAATTTCGCCCTTCCTTATTTCTCTTTCTTTATCAAACTCCAGGTTCAAATTCAAGTTCATTTCCTTTGTTTGTTTTTCAGCCGTTTCTTTAATCAATTCTGCTATTTTACTTAGCATTTGACTGTTGCCCATCCCCAATTCTTCCCCCTCACTGCGTTTCCCTTCTGAGTTGATGTCAGTTTGAAGACAGTCCCCGTCCCCCCCCCCCCAAATTTTGAAACAAGTTGTACTTTGTATTTTAAATTTTGAATAAACCCAATGACTGGCTGCTTCAGAATTTGCTTGCACCCAGACATGTTTGGGTATATTGAGTAAGGTCCTTGGTGTGTCCTGCCTCTAGGAAGTCTGTACCACTCTGTCTCTCTCTCACTTAATAATTTCTCATTTTTCTTTCAAGATTAATTCTGACATTCTTTAGTGCCTTCTTTTCTGGACTTGGCTGTTAGTGAAGTCAAGAAATGGTTCCTAAGATGTTTATCTTGAATTAGACTACTATTTCCCTGTACGTTAAGGATTGCTAGGTTAGGTGTAGATATAAAACCACCATTAAAAAGTCTATCACTAATGACTCTTATGTGATACTTGTTTATTTCTAATTTACTATAGTGCTGAAAGACCCAGACAGCAATCCTTACAGTTTGCTTGATAACACAGAGTCTGACCAGACCGCAGACACAGATGCAAGTGAGTCACATCACAGCAGTAACCGGCGTAGGCGATCCCGCAGACGAAGGACTGATGAAGATGCTGTTTTAATGGATGGGCTGACAGAATCTGACACAGCATCAGTTAATGAAAATGGCTTAGGTATGTCGGCCAAACTGAATGCCCACTGCCACCTTCAGATTAGAGCTACCTGTTGAATTTTATTAACTAGTTCTTTATTTCCTTTCTGTAGTTTACTCATCTTCTGCAGACTTCAATTCCATATTGAAACCAGAATACTTGGGTTAAATGCGATCTAGAAGGGTTGTACAGTATTTTCTGTTGAGTGTATTAGAGATTGCTTTTTGCATGCTTTTAGATGGGAAAAGGAATATGGCATTCAGCTGCCCAAATGGGTTAGAATGTATGTTTTATTATCCTGTCACTGTGTATACTTTACCATTTCATAGTGATTGAATGAAAGAGTATATGTTGAACCCTTTCAGAAGTCAACCTTCCATACCATCATCTGCCATGAAGTGCAGTCATTTTAAAGTGGGATGGTCAGTTGAATTATACTTTTTATTTTGGGCACCGGTTTACTGAGGTAAACAAATCCAAAAATAACGTTTCTTTTGCCTTCCTCTAGCACTTGAGTGATTGTTGTTGAACCTTGTTAAATGAACTTTGGAGGGAAGTTGAGGCCAGGAAAAGAGAGAAAGTTTCTTGCTCTGAGGCTGTGATCACCAGATATTTTTAGAAATCAGTAGAATTCTTATATGTGTGGCTCTTTGGCAGCCATGGGCAAACTGTGGCCCTCCAGGTGTTTTGGACTTCAACTCTCACAATTCCTAACAGCCCACTGGATGTTAGGAATTAAGAGAATTGCAGTTCAAAACACCTGGAGGGCCACAATTTGCCCATGCCTGCTCTAGAGCTATAGTCTACGTTCTACATCTGAGAACGTCTACTTTTTGATAGCATTCAGTTTTTGCAAATGACATGAAATTCCAATATGATTGAATATTATAGTTAACTTGTTTAGATAAATATCAGATATTAAGTGTAGATTTAAGCTGTAATTATTTCAGTCCCTGGATTTTAAATCAATAGTAGGTTTTAACCATTCAGGAGGCTTTTCCCATTGAATGTGTTTTGCATTACACATGGGAGTGCTAGGAAGACAATTTAATACTGACATGGTTCATGGCAAAACTTTCAATTGCAGATGATAGAGACAAAAAACCCCAGCGACGCAATCGTAGTCGCAGGCGTCGTTTCAGGGGTCAGGCAGAAGATAGACAGCCAGGTAACTTGAGTGGAGGTGCACCTCCTCAGGCACCAGCATGAAGGAATGCTCCTTGTCTGCTGTTTCTGTACTCCCTAAATATATGTACAGCTGCCTTTTGTCCATAATGATTGCTTAACAACTAACTTCAGGATGAACAGTTTGAAAACTGAACAGGATGAAAACTGTAGAAATCAAGGGAGAAATATCCATGGACGTCAGACATTCAAGATTATGCCTTGTTGAAAGGCAGTACTGCCCAGTATCTTCTCACATCTGTTCTTAGTAATAAGAGATTCTAACTGAGTTACTAGTACTATAGGAAATAATCATCATGAGCTATCACTCATTGCTGAGTGTTTAGTCTTGGTGGCGGTTCTATAAATGACGGTAGAGACCTATTTTTGATTTGCATGTTATTTCGCAGTGAGGACATCGATTTCCAGATGGAAGGTGGTCCCAACATTGGTTGGCTTGACAAGCCTTCCTCTTGACATGTTTCTCCCTTGCTCCTTCCATTCATGCTTCTTGGGGAATATGTTGCATGCTACCTGCAGTCCTGTTCTTTGAATCAATCTGATAACATTTGGTCTCTGAATTTTAAAATTAACAGGAGTCATGACTGAATTTCAACACTAGTTGCATGTTTTTGTTTGGTATTGTTTGATGCATTTCTTGTGTACTAATATCTTAATTTAAAGAGTAGTTTTCTCCAGTCCAGATTCTGGACTCTAATATGCGGATAATTGTCCTATATTTGTTGCACTTACAATAACTTGGATGCTGAGTATTCTGTGTGTTCTCTAAAATTTTGTGCATTTTACTCAAGCAATGACTCATTATAAGGTGGTATCTTTGCTCCAGACTCCCCTCACACAAAACAACTGGATAGCCTTTGAGAATTAAAATACATGTCAAATGTTAAAATGAGGTTGCACGTCTGTACAGCAGGAAACTAGATAGTATTCATTAGCTAAATGCCACAACAATCAAAGATTTTTTTTCTCAAAATTGCAAGAATGATGGCGATTTCTTAATTTGCTTTTTGTTTTTCACTTTTGCAAGATTGCAGGAAGTACTCTAGATCAGTGGTTCTCAACCTATGGGTCCCCAGGTGTTTTGGCCTACAACTCCCAGAAACCTCAGCCAGTTTACCAGCTGTTAGGATTTCTGGGAGTTGAAGGCCAAAACATCTGGGGATCCACAGGTTGAGAACCACTGCTCTAGATGCACCCATTACCATCAGATCTTCAAAGCTAAGCACAGATAGCTTTAGTAAATGCTTTGGAGACTACCAACAAATAGCAGGTGCTATATATATAGGCTATATTTCAGAAGGACAAACTGGCAAAGCCACTTCTGAGTAATTCTTGCCTAATAACATCCTGTCAATTTCATGGGGTTGCCATAAGTTGATGGGCAACCCGAAGGCACATACACAGGTACAGAAAGCTACCTAGCATTTGCTAAATCTTATGTTTTTCAGAAAGAGCAAATGTGGTTTGATTAATGCTGTGAAGCATCTTCAGAAACATAGATATAAATCCTGTTCTGATCAGAGTAGATGCACTGAATCACTCAACTGGATCTACTTTAGTTGGGGTTAACTTCCAGGATGCCAACTCCTGGTTTATGTGAACTGTTGTTAAATTGCTTGCAAATGTTTACTGCCTCATAATACTCTCTTCCTTTTCTGACCACATTGTGATATTTACTTTGAAATTGAGATACTGTTGCATCTCAGGTTTCTCCCTACCAATCTCGCTAGTGTGATTATGTATGCAGCTATCCTTCTGTAGGTATTTTTTTAAAGAACTGCTTACAAAGAGCTTTGCAGCACCATTAGTGTTGCAAAGGTTATGTAAACTCTCTTACCTGGGTCTTACAGCCCTCTTATGAAGGATCAGAATGTCAGCTGAAAATTGGGAGAATGTAATTCGGGTACAATTGGTATTATACCTGTGCAGTCCTTTTCTGAAAACAAGAGTAATGAGTAGAATTCTCACATTTCCTAATGGTCCTTTTGAATTTAAATGATAAATGGAAAGTCCCTTAGAAACACATGATTATTGACTTCATTAGGACTAACTCTCAGTAAAGAGCTTTAGGATAGGTTGTCAAGTAATTTCACTGAAAAAGTGCATTTCTTTGAAAGCTACAAATCAGAGGACCTTTAGTTCTGTTTATGGGAGTGAGCATCAGAATCTGTCTTGCTTGGTGGGTAAAGAAATCTCAACCTTAGAAGGGGTTCTCAAAATGGGCCTTTTGGGATTGACACCAGTGATTTCCTGGTTTTTCAATATGTAGTAATTTTCAAAAAATGTTCTTTCCTTTGCAGTAACAGTTGCAGATTATATATCAAGGGCAGAATCTCAGAGTAGACAAAGAAATCTCCCAAGGGAAGCACTGGCCAAAACCAAGAAAGAAGTGGTAAGAAAAATGAAAATACATAATGGCTTACTTATGTAAATACTTAATTTTTTTCCCCCGTGACCACAAAGTAATTTTAAAACACTGGATTTTAAAAGGAGTAAGGTAGAGCTGATTGGGCAAAATACATTGATCACTACATTTAAAGGTGAACATAACAATTTATTCTTGTTAACTGTTGTTGATTTATGATAATCCTATGACTAAGTGACCTTCAAATCAGCCTGTTACTAACAACTGTGGTTTTGATAGATCATCTACTTGCAGTGTCTTATTCTTTAACTAGCTCCTAAAAATACAAATTACGGTCACAGTGTTTCCCAAAGTTTGGTCTTCCAGTTTTGAATTTCAGCTCCCAGAATTTCTGATCATTGAACAAGCTGGAACTTCTGGGAGTTGAAGTCTAAAACAACTGGAGGACCAATCACTACTCTGTTTCCTTGGAATGATTGAACAAAGGAGAGTGGAGAAGTTACTTTAACTTGCGATGTGAATTTTTTAAAATGGTCCAGTCACTACTCCTTTCTATTTTTTCTTTCAAAAGGCAAAAGATGTAATTGAAGAAGTTGTTGTTCCTGAAAAGGCCATAAATGGCCCTGCAGTTGTTCCTGGAACTGAGCCTTCAAAGCTGCAGCACAGTCCTGAAGAAAGGCCTAGTACTGTACAAGAAGACGGAAATAAACAGGAAGAAGCTGTGTTGAATGGTGTTTCATAAACAGAGTTCCTAGTTTACAGTTCTTTTACATTACATTTTACAATAGTGCTTGTATAAGCTTGCCAAAGATAGAATATGGATTGCGAGTCTTGACACCGCACTTTCAGTTCCTCCATTTTGGAAAACAGAACAGGGAGGGATCCTGAAGAAATCCAATGTTGAACATACTTTGACACCTACTGTGTTATAAATATCATCAGATGTGCCTTGAGAATAGTATATGTAACATTTAAATAAAAACAAATTGCTGGCTATAGGAAATGTTATTTTGTTTTCAAAATATGGCAGAGATGTGGGGGGAAGGGGAATCCCTAACATAACCTTCTTTATGAAAGCATTAGCTGCTTTTGTTACATTTTTAATAATATGCAACCACTTCTTCACCTGAGGAAAACTAGAAAAATGCAGTCTAAAAATATTTTGCACTGAACTGTAATTTCTCCATTAGTTTAGTCTGGAAACTGGTCTGTTTTAATACGTGTTTTTTAAATGCTGTATGTAGTGGGGAAAAACTGCAGACCACTGGAATACATTTATTAAATTCTCAACCTGCAGGGATATTGGGTGACATTGGCAGTGACTGTTCTACATTGAGGCTTTGTTTGATTTATTTATTAAACTGTACAGTATTTAAAAATCAAACACAGCTTTAGTTAAAACATTTAAGCTGAAATAGTCATGTCCATATAAGACAAAACCAGAACTACTGAAAAGATCAATTTCCAGAAAGTTTATTCTGTATAAACTACATACGTTAGTCCTTAGAGTATTTTTATTTTTGTTTTGGTTGTTTGATGTGCAATATGTTTTTGTATGCTGGTAGAAAAATAAATAAACTTTGATCTTCCATTGGTTGATCCTTAAATACTTGACACAGTTATGAATTCATTACAATAATTTATTAAATTCGGAATCAAAACTTTTGCTTTGGTTAGGGTGCTGCCTCTACTAATCCATATAGATCAGGTGACATGAAAAGATACATCTTTACTATATGGCCTGTTTTTCCTTTAAAGGTTGGATGCCTCTGGAAAAGATTCTTTTCTTGATCTCAATAATTTTGTTTGTATTATTGCAAATTTCTTACTGTAGTGGGAAGAAATGCTGAAATCCCCTCCCATATCAGCGGGACTCTGAAGTAGTTCCCCTTACTAGTTTTCACTAAAAAAAACTTGGAAATCCATTCACAGCTTTTAGCCATGCTGCTTAACTTGAGCTAGAAACTTTAGGGGAATGTTTGCTTTGTAGTGATATTTGAAAATTATATTTATTTATAAATAGGGTTTGATGTCTTTGTACCATAATAATTCTCTATCCTGGAAACAGAACTGTCGAATACAACATGATTATCTCATATCTGAATGAAATGTCAGATTTAATGTCTCATGTCACCTAGGGTGCATACACTGTTGAATTAATGCATTTTGACTGCCATGGCTCAATACTATGGAACCCTGGGATTTGTAGCTTAGTGAGGCAACAGACTATGGCAGAGAAGGCTAAAGACTGGGTAAAACTACAACTCGCATTATTCCATCGCATTGAGCTATGGCAGTTAAAAGTAGTGTCAAACTGCATTAATTCTGTAGTGTAGATGCACACTCATTCTCTGTGCACTTTCTCCATTCCTTTTGTGATTGAAAGTCTGCTTATTCTGGATGAAGGAAACTGGAATCAACATATCTTTGAATTAGCTCATGTTTAGTTTCCTGATATTACCCTTCTAAAGGTTGCAGAGGAAATGGCAAATTAAGGTTATATTTAAGCGGAAGTGATGCATCAGCTTTCCAGAATTGAAATAAATACAGAATTCCTCCCCCCCCCCCCACTTTAAAATGGTCCACAATATGGTGGGGCAGTTGTCACTATAGCCAGAGAGCTACTGTCTTCTATCATGTTCCTATCATTGACTAAGCTTTGATGAAGTGGAAACCATCTAAGAATTCTTTCCTCCCCGGAAGGTAGCCATAGTCTGACACCTGAGATACTTCAGTGCTAAGACTTACTCTGTCTAACAACAAACATTTGAGGCTATGAGAGAGAAGAAATATATTATATTGCATTTGAGTCTAGCTCTGTGACCTAGTGAACAATATTAAGAGTTTAATGCCTGCATTTGCTTATTTTCCTTCTAATCCAGTTTCTCTCTGGTTTTAGATTGTGAACCATGAGGCACTTATGTCTTTTTTGAGTTTTGGCAGCCAGCTAAGCCAAATGAAATAATACAGTAATGAAACATCTTGTCCTTGCCCATGAAATTGAAAGTTTTTTTCAGCATAGTCCTGGAGCCTTTTTGTTGATCGTATACTATTAAGGAAATCTAGATTGTATAGTCCTGGATGCGTGATTAGTGACATATGCAAAGCTTTTAAGGAGGACAGATCTGTAAGCTGAATTTACCACAATGAAACAGAAGATAAAAACAAAAGGCTTAGTTGTATTTCTCTGCATAACTTGGACAACTATAGAATATAGACTATATACAGAATTAGTGTTCAGAACGTAAAGGTAAAAGTTTCTATATTGGAGCTATAATAACATCCAGCTTTGCTTTTTAAAAAAATCTATGTTGTTATTCCTGTTCCTTTTAGCAGTTACTGAAGTGTCATCTTTAAAAGTTCATAAAATGAGGGTAAGGATGACACAGAATGTGAAGTTGGGTCTTTCTTGGTGGAGAAAAATGCCGTTACTTGGAAGAAAATAGTTCAAATGCCTTGTGGGAATGTCAAAGAGATTGCTGACTTAAGTCCTTGGTGGTGTTTTGAAGAACCAATGGAACTAAACAAACAAAACCCCTGCAACAAATCTCAAATTTGGTTACCCTAAAGATGATTTAACATTGCACTGAAATAAAATAACACTTTTATTGCTCAGAAACAGGGAAAGTTAAAGAACAGCTAAATGCATCAGGTTGAGATAAATTCCATGATAATTCATATAATTGTCATCATTTTTACCTGATAAATATTTTAAAATGCCACATTTTATCAAACAATTTTCTTAATCCAGTCCTGGATGTCAACATTACCTGCGTAAACCTTTGACATCCCAAATCATAGCAGCAGGAACCTCCGATACCAGTGTCTGACTTAATCAAACTGACCCAATACAACTGCTGTGCATGTGTCTAGCTGCCTTAATTATTTTACTAGACACTGCAGATAAGATTTATTTTTGAAAATAAGGAGATCACCTACAATGGAAGTCTCTCATGGCAGGTACCCTTTTCCCATTGCTCTTTGGATTATTTTAACAATACACTTTCAATCACTGATTAGGTGTGTCTTTTCACTTTTTAGCTTGACCCTCCAGCAAATCTTTAGCTTCGTTAATTTTGGCTGCCACATATGGAGATCCACCTGTTAGAAAGAAAAATATGTATGTCATCCATAAGAGGAATATTTGTCCTGTTTTTTGCTGAAGATAATATACATCTGTATCTGCCTAAAACTGATATAAAGCATAGGGTGACCTTTAAAAATGATTTCAGAGGATGCCCGGCACAAATAATGATGTATATGCAAAGTTCGTATTAACATAACAATGCTTTCCAAAATAAAAGCCTTTCCAGGCACTGAAAAATCCAGAGAGGCCCCCAAAACTTCCCATTTAATTCCACATCATAGCTGAATTCCAGATTAGAATGAAATCTCCAATCCCTGCAAAATGTATTTTGATTTACCTTTATCAGGATGGTTTAATAGCATGATTCGTCTGTGAGCTTCTCTAATTTTTCCTTTATTTGCTGTAGGACTAATAGATTAAAAAGAAAACCAAGATCAATTTAATCTTCAAAAGCTACATATGAAGAACTGGCAATCTGTAATAAGTTTGTCAGGTGTAAGTAATAGAGACAAGATTATTTTTCCCAGTTCACAAAATGGCAGTTAATGGGAAATCGTTTAGTATTATTGTAGTCTTATAATTAAGACAATTGCTGTAAATAATTTGAGAGTTGGAGTATGACCTTGAAGACCAGGATTTGAATCCTACCTGGCCCATGAAACCCACTGAGTGAAAACCCACTCTCTGCCTTAGAGGGAATGGCAAATGTCTTCTGAATAAAACTTGCTAAGAAAACACTCATAGGTTTGCCTTATGTTTCTAATGAGTTGGAAACAACTTAAAAGCAATTAACAAGAATTTCTGAGCCTCACAATAATACATAGAAACATCTATTAGCGGGCACACAGAATCCATTATACCTGAGCACTCTTAACTAAGTAAACCGATTGATAAAAGTTTTTTCCCCCACAGGCCCTATTGTTGATTCCCCCTAGCACTGGTACGGTTTGAGTATCCCTTATCTGAAATGTTTTGAGCCACCTATATTTAGATATGTGTACATGAGAGATCCTAGTCTAAACAAATAATTCATAAAACAAAAATTAAAATATTTTTGTGCATGAAGCAAAGGTTCTGTGCACTGAAGCGCCAGAAAGAAGTCAGTATATCAGCCATCGATATGGATGGTTTTGGAATTCTGGATAAGGGATGCCCACCCTGTATAGCAGTGTTTCTCAACCTGGGGGTCGGGACCCCTGGGGGGGTCACGAAGGGGTGTCAGAGGGGTCATCAAAGACTATCAGAAAACACAGTATATTCTGTTGCTCATGAGTTTTCTGTGTGGAAAGTTTGGCACAATTCTGTCATTGCTGGGGTTCAGAATGCTCTCTGATTGTAGGTGAACTAGAAATCCCAGCGACAACTTCCAAATGTCAAGGTCTAGTTTCCCCAAACTCCACCAGTGTTCACATTTCAGCATATTGAGTATTCCTACCAAGTTTGGTCTAGATCTATTATTGTTTGAGTCCACAGTGCTCTCTGGATATAGATGAACTACAACTCCCAAACTCAAGGTTAATGCCCACCAACATCTTCCAGTATTTTCTGTTTGTCCTGGGAGTTCTGTGTGCCAAGTTTGGTTCAATTTCATTGTTGGTGGAGTTCAGAATGCTCTTTCCTTGTAGGTGAACTATAAATCCCAGCAAATAAAACTCTCAAATGACAAAAATCAACTCCCCCATCAACCCTAACAGCATTCAAATTTGGGCATATTTGTGCCAAATTTGGTCCAAGGAATGAAAACACACCCTGCATGTCAGATATTTACATGATGATTCATAACAATAGCAAAATTACAGTTGTGAAGTAGCAACGAAAATAATTTTATGGTTGGGGGTTACCACAACAGGAGGAAATGTATTAAGGGGTCACGGCATTAGGGGGGTTGAGAACCACTGCTGTATAGGTATATGATGAAGTACTAGTTCTCCAAATCCATCTATTTGTTTGCCTGGGAGCCCTGAAGATGGCTGTATTTAAGCAACAAACATTTACCATTTATCATGTATGCCATCAGTTATCTCAAGTGCCCGTGCCATTAGCAGTACCTCTAGCAGTCATAGTCTGCATTGAATTACAGTTTGCTTGCTTCAGAAAGCCAGTAATCTTTAAAAGCTATACCATTATGTGGACTACATTGTCTCCTCTTCAATTCTAAATTCAACATTCCAACCATGACAACATCTAAGGAAAGTTACTAAGACCTGTTTTTCTGCCTCACTCCCCCCCCCCCCAAATCTTTGGAAAACAATGCTCTGATTTGTTTACCTCACTCCTAATATTAAAGCAGCTTCCCGCTTGCTCATTTTGGTTTCGAATCCTCCTCTGTAATAACCACTGAAGGTCTGAAATAAGATACACACCAGTATTAATAAAAGTGTTAAGCGATGTCATCACCAATGGGCAAGGAAATTCAAAATCCACATCATGAATTTTGGAAAAAGGATGGAAGAGACCATCTACAGCTATACTACTTTGCAACTCAGTACACTACTTGATGCTGGTTCTCATCCTTCACTCCCATTTACTTTGGCCTTTCTTCCCCATTTGAGACAAAAACTGATGAAATGCATATGGCTCACTAGAATTACAAACTATCTTCCACATCCCAAATTCTTGCTCAGTTAATTATTTTCGTTCATTGTCAAATATTAGATTTTTTTTTAAAAAAAGTTTAAAACAATATTGCTGCCAAAGAAAATTCAGTAAAATGAACTCACAGCTTTGGGCAGGGACTGAAGAGCTTGCTTTACTTGTGGTTCCATTTGCTTCATTGCCTGCAGTGCATAACGACCTCAAAGAAAGGGAAGAATTCAAATTCAGCTACTTTGAGACTGATTGAGATGGTGCTGCTGGACAGCACGGCATTTCTAGGAAAGTCTTGATGAGACACAATGCTTCCAAATACTAATACAACTGGTGCAAGAGCCTGCAGACAGGTGCATACATTCCTCCCAAGTACTAAACTATCACTGATACCTCCTTTCCATTAGTCTTCCTAGAAAATGTAATTATTCTACAACCATTGCATGAATACATTTAGTGCTCTGGTTAATCCTGAGTGAAGATGGTGGTTACCACAAATCCAGGAAATCAATGTACACTACTTTCCAAGAGTCCATAACCAAAAACAGTAAATGTGCAGGAAATTTTACACTTGTGGGTTAACCAACTCACCCTTCTGTATTGTCTTCATCCCTAATTTAAACTAGACAAGGGCTACATGAGGTTGTTGAGTCCCATAAACTCACATCATGTCTTCTTCTACTGCTGACAATAAAGAAAGTACTCCTGAGAGCAGAGATACAGTTCAATAGATATCATAAAAGGAAACCTAAATTAAAGCTGATATCCTGTTGATGTATTACATATGCATAAATACCCATACATATATGTCTACTTTTCTGGCCATGGCAAAATGTCCACATTCACCAAAGGTGGCAAAAGCAGAGTTTCATATAATGTGCCATTGTGCAAATGAAGTCACTGGACATTGCAAGTAGAGATGAGTATTGAGCACTGCAAACATGCATTTTGTATTTGTTTGCATGTTTAGTTGTGTAGTGTTCATTAATGTGCAATCATTACATAACCCTGTGAGTGTAGTCACACTGTCTTCTTTGTGCAGGATCTTTTTTAAGGCATAATTGTGAGGATTTTTTAAAGAAATGATCCCACTTAGAGAACTAATTATTTCATATATCAAGTGCCATAGATCCTTGAATTACACTCTGTACCACGAGACTGCTTGCTCCCTTGCATTTACCACTTTTTACTACTAAATCAGAGATACCACCTATAAACTATTTTGAGCGATATAAAAAAAAGGTAGTTGGTCTACAGCAACAAAACTCAGTTCTCAAAAATCACTAAAAACCCACAATTTTCAAGAAGATCAATCATTGGAATTACACACCTCAACAGACATATATACCGCAACAAAGATCACATTTAAAAAGGAGTACAAATTCAAAGACCTGGGGAGACAATGGTTTTGGGTTTACATAGTTTTATATTGAACATCTTTTTCCTAACATAGTATCTAACTCAAGGCATAGAAAATGGCATACATTAAAATAAATTGGTAGAGACGCCAAAAGAGGTCAATAGCAAGAGTCACTAAAAATGTACAGATTTGGCACTCAGCCATTGCTTTTGCACTTGTGAATGCCATCCAAAGTAGCCCTTGGAGGCTAGCAGGGCAGTCCTCACTGGACTATACGGAGCTTTGTTCAACCCAGGGAGAAATAAATCATGGAGTCCAAATACAAACCTGCATATCCAGCAGCAGCTATTGTCAGACCAACCGCTATCATAGTACTAGCCTACAAAAAGAAAGGGGAGGGGACAAGCAATACCATAAAATGAAAAGTAGCGCATTTCCATACATACAATATAAATACTATTGGGACTCAGATGATTTGGAGTATCAAAACCATTGCCTTGCATAATTATATCTGGTTGTATATCACAAGAGAAGATTCTACTCCAAATAGTTTTTGGCTCTTCTTTGAAAGGCCATGCTTTTCTAAGTTATGATCTCCAAAAGATGTTTTTCCAAAAGGTTAGGAATGCTGCCATTCTCCAAAATACATGTTTTATTATTTGTTGGTTGAACTTTATTGGCAAAGGTTAACCACCCAGAGTTCCCATTGCGGAGATAGGACGGGATACAAATAAAGTTTATTATGTGTTGTCAAAGGCTTTCATGGCTATAATCACTGGGTTACTGTAAATTTTCCGGGCTGTATGGTCATGTTCCAGAAACATTCTCCCCTGACATTTTGCCCACATCTATGGCAGGCATCCTCAGAGACTGTGAGGCCACAACATCTGAGGATGTTTGCCATAGATGTGGGTGAAACACAAAGAAGGAGCCTCCACCACACTCCGAGGCAGAGAGTTCCACTGCCGAACGGCTCTCACAGTCAGGAAGTTCTTCCTAATGTTCAGATGGAATCTCCTTTCTTGCAGTTTGAAGCCATTGTTCCACGTCCTAGTCTCCAGGGCAGCGGAAAACAAGCTTACTCCCTCCTCCCTATGACTTCCTCTCATGTATTTATACATGGCTATCATGTCTCCCATCAACCTTCTCTTCTTCAGGCTAAACATGCCCAGCTCTTTAAGCCGCTCCTCATAGGGCTTGTTCTCCAGACCCTTGATCATTTTAGTCGTCCTCCTCTGGACACATTCCAGCTTGTCAATATCTCTCTTCAATTGTGGTGCCCAGAATTGGACACAATATTCCAGGTGTGGTCTAACCAAAGCAGAATAGAGGGGTAGCATTACTTCCTTAGATCTAGACACTATGCTCCTATTGATGCAGGCCAAAATCCCATTGGCTTTTTTTGCCGCCACATCATGTTGTTGGCATTGTTCCTTGTCCTAGTCTCCAGGAAGCAGAAAACAAGCTTGCTCCCTCCTCCCTGTGGCTTCCTCTCACATATTTATACATGGCTATCATGTCTCCTCTCAGCCTTCTCTTCTTCAGGCTAAACATGCCCAGCTCTTTAAGCCGCTCCTCATAGGGCTTGTTCTCCAGACCCTTGATCCAATAAATAAACTAGAAAAGATCATAATGCAAGGGAAAGTAATAGGAAAAGACAAAGGCCACGTTCCAAATAGGTAGGACGCAATCCAGGAAAACATAGGCCTGAATCTGCAGGAGGGATGTCATAAAAGGTAAAGGTTGCCCCCTGACATTAAGTCCAGTCATATCTGACTCTGGGGTGTGGTGCTCATCTCTATTTCTAAGCCGAAGAGCCAGCGTTGTCTGTAGACACCTCCAAGGTGGAGCCCCCAGTGGCGCAGTGGGTTAAACCCCTGAGCCGGCAGGACTGAAGACTGACAGGTTGCAGGTTCGAATCCGGGGAGAGGCGCGGATGAGCTCCCTCTGTCAGCTCCAGCTCCTCATGCGGGGACATGAGAGAAGCCTCCCACAAGGATGATAAAAACATCAAATCATCCCCTGGGTAATGTCCTTGCAGTCAGCCAATTCTCTCACACCACAAGCGACTTGCAGTTTCTCAAGTTGCTCCTGACACGACCAAAAACAAACAAACAAACAGAAAAACCTCCAAAGTCATGTGGCCGCCATGACTGCATGGAGCGCTGTTACCTTCCCGCCGGAGCAGTACCTATTGATCTACTCACATTTGCATGTTTTTGAACTGCTAGGTTGGCAGAAGCTAGGGCTGACAGCGGAAGCTCACGCCGTTCCCCGGAATTCGACCTGTGACTTTTCGATCAACAAGCTCCGCGCTTTAACCCACTGCGCCACATAGCCCCTCTGTATTTTGCACTAGTCATCCAATATATATATTGGAGCGCCTGGTGGCGCAGTGGGTTAAACCCCTGTGCCGGCAGACTGAAGACCGACAGGTCGCAGGTTCAAATCCGGGGAGAGGCAGATGAGCTCCCTCTATCAGCTCCAGCTCCTCATGCGGGGACATGAGAGAAGTCTCCCACAAGGATGATAAAAACATCAAATCATCCAGGCGTCCCCTGGGCAATGTCCTTGCAGACGGCTAATTCTCTCACACCAGAAGCGTCTTGCAGTTTCTCAAGTCGCTCCTGACATGACCAAAAACAAACAAACAGAAAAACCTCCAAGGTCCTGTGGCTGGCATGACTGCATGGAGCGCCATTACCTTCCCGCCGGAGCGGTACCTATTGATCTACTCACATTTGCATGTTTTCGAACTGCTAGGTTGGCAGAAGCTAGGGCTGACAGCGGAAGCTCACGCCGCTCCCTGGAATCGAACCTGCAACCTTTCGGTCAACAACGCACTGCGCCACCGGGGATGTCATAATATTTTGCACTGGTCATCTAATATATATTATAAGAAACCCCTTTTCTTCCTCTCTTTATATATTATATATATATGTGTGTGTGTGTGTCAAGGGGATATTTTTCAGTATGATATCACACATATACATGCATAGCAATGTTGTTTATGGTTCAGGGAAGGCAGCCATTACTCCTTAACCTGGATATGAAAAGGGAAAGGAAAAAATTGAGAATTTAGGAATTATGACCATGACCAATGTATTGTCCAAGGCTTTCATGGCCAGAATCACTGGGTTGTTGTGTTCCCCGGGCTGTATGGGCCATTTTTTTCAGAAGCATTCTCTCCTGACGTTTCGCCCACATCTATGGCAGGCATCCTCAGCGGTTGTGAGGTCTGTTGGAAAATGCTGGCAAAGGGGCCTGAGGCCTCACAACCTCTGAGGATGCCTGCCATAGATGTGGGCGAAACGTCAGGAGAGAATGCTTCTAAAGCATGGCCCAGACAGACCAGAAAACACACAACAACCCAATGACCATGACCCTTTCTCCTGTCGAAGGCCCACCAAAAGCCCACTCACCATGTCCCCCGAGTCCCGTGGAGGAGAGGGAGCAGCCCCTCCACTCCCCTCTCTCCCTTCCTGCAGGACCCTTGGCTCTCCTCTGAAGAGAGCCGTAAAGCGAGCGTCGTAAAGGCAGACTCAATTCAGCCTCCTCCTCTGGAGCGCCGCCGTAAAGCCAGCGCAGGCCTCGCGGGCGTCGTAAAAAGAAAGAAGCAGCCACGCCCTCTCTCCTCCTTTCTCTTCAGTCTGTTGTTTTGAGCGGGAATCTGAGGAAGGAGAGATTATTGTTGCCTTTGAGCCAGTTTGAGAGCCAGTTTGAGAGCCAAGGAAAAGCCACAAATTCTTTTTTTCTTTCTAGTAACTTCAGCCACCACCTCTCTAGTGATATAATCTTTAAAAAACTAGTATTCTTTTACCTTTGGTGATTTTACCTCAGAAAACCAGTCAGTTTACCTCAAGCAGTACCTCTCTTCTGATTTTAACTCTGAGAACTAGTAATTTTACCTCAAGCAATACCTCAAGCAAGTGATTTTACCTCAGGCAATTAGTAATTCTATCTCAGGCAATACCTCTTTAGTGATTTTACCTCAGAAACTAGTACTTTTACCTCAAGCAATACCTGTCTGGTGATTTTACCTCAGAAAACTAGTGATTTCACTTCAAGCAGTACCTCTGCTGATTTTAACTGAGAATTAGTAATTTTACCTCAAAGGAATACCTCTCTAGTGATTTTGCCTCAGAGAATTTGTATTTTTACCTCAAGCAATACCTCTAGTGATTTTATCTCAGAGAACTAGCATTTTTACCTCAAGCCTGGCATGTAGTCGGGGGGGGGGGGGGGGGGGGGAGACTTCAGCCCCCCCTCGAAATTCTCATGGTGGTCCGCGAGAAGGCCTTACTGCTACATTATTTAAACTGTTATGTTTATTCATATCATGATCTGGAGCCCCCGGTGGCGCAGTGGGTTAAAGCCCCGTGCCGACAGGACTGAAGACCGACAGGTCGCAGGTTCGAATCCAGGGAGAGGCGGATGAGCTCCCTCTATCAGCTCCAGCTCCTCATGCGGGGACATGAGAGAAGCCTCCCACAAGGATGATAAAAACATCAAAATCATCCAGGCGTCCCCTGGGCAACGTCCTTGCAGACGGCCAATTCTCTCACAACAGGAGTGGTCGCTCCTGACACGACTAAATAAATAAATAAATAAAAATATCATGATCTGATCACCATGCTCAATATATCCCATATGCATGGGGGTATTGGGGTAACGATACAAAACGTTTGCTAGGGTAGATCCTGAGCCCCCCCTCCCCCCAAAATCAAAATCCTGGCTACGGGCCTGCCTCAAGCAATACCTCTCTAGTGATTTTACCTCCGAGAACTAGTAGTTTTACCTCACACAATACCTTTTTAGTGATTTTACTTCAGAAAACTAGTAATTCTACCCCAAGCAATACCTCTCTAGTGATTTTACCTTCAAGAACTAGTAATTTTACCTCAAGCAATACCACTCCAGAGATTTTACCTTAGAGAACTTGTAATTTTACCTCAAGTAATACCTCTCTAGTTATTTTACCTCAGACAATTAGTAATTCTACCTCAAGCAATACCTCTTTAGTGATTTTACCTCAGAAAATAGTACTTTTACCTCAAGCAATACCCATCTGGTGATTTTACCTTCGAAAACTAGTAATTTTACCTCAAGTAATACCTCATTAGTAATTTTAGTCAGAGAACTCTAGTAATTTTACTTAAAGCAAAAGTCTAGTAATTTTACCTCAGATAACTCTAGTAATTTTAACTCAGACAATACCTCTCTAGTAATTTTTTTCAGATAATGCCTCTCTGGTCATTTTACCTCAGAAAACGCCTTTCTAGTACCTTTTAAGTTCTTCAAGTGTGAATCTAGCCAACTTCTCACGTTGTATTTGTGTCTATGCCTTCAAATTGCCTGTGGACTTATGGTGACCCCATTAATTTCATGGGGTTTTCTTAGGCAAGGAATACTTAAGAGGTAGTTTTGCCAATTTCTTTCTTTAGAAAGTGGGACCAGAGCACCTGACATTTGTTGTTGGTCTCTCTTCCAAGTACTACTCAGGGCTGACTGCTTAGCTTCCAAGCCCTGGGATCCGATGCCTTTGGCCCTATAACTCACAACATATTATATACATTATAAATGGAAAACAGTAATAAGCCAGAATAAAAATATAATAAAGAGAAGATTTAAAAATTATGAAGTGAAAACAGCATCAAAATCCACCAAAACGTCCACAACAAAACAAGAACAGAGTTGCAGGGCACCTCTAATCAGTTTGCAAAAGCTTGACCTGCTGACAGAAAAGGAGCAAGGACAGCCATCCCAACCTTTTTATGGAGGAGTTCCAGTGTCTGGAGGCAGCTACCCAAAAGGCCCTGTCTCCCAGGTTCACACCAGAAAAGCCTGGGAAGATGGTGGGACAGAGAGAAGGGTCTCTCCAGATTATTTTAGAGCCCCGAAGGGCTCATAAAGGGAGACAGGCTTCTTCAGATCACCTGGACCCAAGCCACCTGTGTATGAGGTGAGGTAATAATATGACCCTTTTCTTATCTTCCTTTTCTTCTGAATGGCATAAGGTGGGTTATATACGTATTTCTTTGCCTGTCCTCACAACAACTCTGAGGTACCATATTTCACCACGTTAATAGTTATTTATTTGTTGTGTCAGGGCAACCAGTTAATTCTATTACATTTCTAACAGAACACAACAAACAAACAGACAAAATACAAAATTTGTGAGTTTGGTAGTTGATTAAATGTCCTTTGACCAGTAGCTGGCCACTTGGAGTGCTTCTGGTGTTACTATAAGAAGTCCTCCATTGTGCATGTAGCAGGGCTCAGGGTGCATTGCAGCAGGTGGTCAGTGGTTTGCTCTTCTCTACACTCGCATGTCGTGGATTCCACTTTGTGGCCTCATTTCTTGAGGTTGGCTCTGCATCTCGTGGTGCCAGAGCGCAGTCTGTTCAGCGCCTTCCAAGTTGCCCAGTTTTCTGTGTGCCCAGGGGGGAGTCTCTCATTCGGTATCAGCCATTGATTGAGGTTCTTGGTTTGAGCCTGCCACTTTTGGACTCTCGCTTGCTGGGGTGTTCCAGCGAGTGTCTCTATAGATCTTAGAAAGCTATTTCTTGATTTAAGTCGTTGACGTGCTGGTTGATACTCAAACAGGGGGTGAGCTGGAGATGTCACTGCCTTGGTCCTTTCACTATTGGCTGCTACTTCCTGACGGATGTCAGGTGGTGCAATACTGGCTAAACAGTGTAATTTCTGTGTCATGATATAACTTTAATGAATTGTCACAGTAAACTATGTGATTAGTTCAGACTAGGCACTTCATCAAGTGAACTACAAATCCCACAGAGCAGTTTGAGGTACCATCAATGTGCATGACATAATACAAGAAATCAGAAAAGGACTCGTATTGCTCTTTTCCCCACTGTGTAGGCCGGTGACAATATGACTTTAAATAAACAGCGCATTATGATAGCTCCCATTGATTCTGTGTGTAGAATCTGAGCGTGAGAGCTGGAAGCTGCCTTGTCCTATTACATACACTCTGAACCCTGTCCAAATTATTTCATAATGGAGCCACAGATGTACCTTCAGCCACTGCTTTTGTTATTTGTGAGACACTGTTATTAATACATGACACTGTATTATTAAGAATACTCACAAACAAGTACCAGAGCTATAATTCACCCTCATTTTGCGATAATCTCAGCAATCAAACAAGTCAGCTTGTCCATCTGGAACCAGCACGTGATATTAAGTTTACACAGATTGCTCCAGTGGTCAGTCATATTTGTTCAGAGCCCAGCAGGAGAAACACCATTAGAGTGTGCATTCACAAAAAACCTAGTGGTAATGTATCTGGAACAAAAAGAGAAAAGCAATAGAAAAGTGGTCATGGGTGGTAGAGGGAAAATGGGAGGTCACAAATAAAGGGAAGAGAATTAACATAAATACAAGAACGGGCCAGAAAAGATAAATATAGATCTGAGGGGACAAAAGAAATAAAAAATATGGAAGAGTCAAACAGGGAGGGAAATGTTAACCAGCATATCTGATTTTGATGACAAGTCATTTTGTTGTTTGAGAAAAACCAGCAGCCTCTTTGCTGTAGCTGTTCCAATAACTTCCTGTTATAAACAGACTAATATATAATTTTGGTCAAGGTTTCATCCTTGATTAAAATTGTTACAAAGGCTAAATGGAAATTCCTTGTTTTAGGCTCAATCATCAGGAGCTGCTGACTGTTCCTCTTTTCACATAATTGTCTTAACTCAAGGACTGCATTCATGTTGTGCTAAGGATCATACCGAAGTCACACAACTATAGGATCATGGTAGTATGGAATGAACATAAATGGTTTATTGTGTGGGTTTTTTTGGTGTTCTCAAACATTATTGATGCACATGTTTTGTTTGTGTTGTCAAACAAAATTGATGCGCATGTTTCATCTATATGTTTTTTATTTTGAATAGTTACATTGACATGTAAGGAAAGCTCTTTAAAATACATTTACTCTTTAAATATTATATAGAAAATATTATACAGAAAATGATTTACTGAGAGTACAAAACATTGAACTGTATGTACTACACGTATCTAGTTCCAAATATTCAGTCTTGGACATCTATACATCTCAACAATCTAGGAAATATTTTCAGCTTTTTGTAGTCATGGCAAAAAGTTTTACAGTATTTGATCACCAGTTAATAATACAGTGAATAGCTATATCATATTTCTGTTGCACAAATAACATGTTTAACTCTCTTTCCAGGTGCTTGTGGTGGGCAGATAAACCTGTCGGAAGTATTATCTGGTAAGTAAATGGCATTTTTCTCTCAGATTTTCATAGTCGGTAACTATCATTTCATTTTCAGCATTTTTCTTATGAGATATGACTAATATAGAATTCCAGTCTCTGGATGCAGTAGGACAATTAGGAACATATTTCACACAGGAATGTACCTGTTCTGAAATTGTGCGCAAAGTAGGTGCATTTCACACAGATGACGATTGAATTTATTTTTGCAGTTTCTCAAGTTGCTCCAAACACAAAAAA